AGCCATATTTTGAAAACCACTCGGCCTCAATCCGTGGAACTCTTTGCAAAGTTTTAAAACGAATGTTTGCCACGCTAAGGCAAGAGCCACACTTTGACAACCACCCGCCCTCAATCCGCGAAATTCTTGCAATTGTTTAAGACAAGTGTGCTCCGCGCTGAGGCGAGAGCCACATGTTGAAAAGGACCCGCCCTCCATCTGTGAAACCGTTGCTATGTTTTAAGATTCACAGGCATCAATGGTGAGGAAGTCTCAGGCGAAACGCCCAGCCCGCTCTAAAAACTTGCCTCGGGGTGCGACAGGGAGAAGTTCGTTATAAGGAAAAGGAATGGAGAAGGGGAAGGAGAAGGAGAAGGAGGAGGACGGGATATAGGACGAACGGGACGAGGGCAGGGAAGAGGAGGAGGAGGAGGAGGAGGAGGAGGAGGAGGAGGAGGAGGAAGCGGAGGACGAGGCGGAGCCGCCGGCGCACCCCCTTCCTCCAGGAGCGGCCGCCGTTCGCGTAGCGCTCCTTGGGGAATCGCCTTGTTTGAGAGGCGGTGGGGGAGTGCGCCGGCGCCCGACCACCGCTCGGCCGGCCGGACCCGCGACCCGCCGGAGGAGGCGGGCGTTGCGTGGTGGGGGGTGCGGCGAGTGGAGGGTGAAGAGGGGAGCACTTGGTGTGCCCCAGAAGCGCCCTAAAGGAGACCCCTGGGGCCAAAGAGGGGCGCGAAGGGTGCACGTCTCTCCCCCCCCCCCGCCCCATGCATCGCCCCCCCGTGAGGCGGCGCCCGAAGGAGGAAGAGATCGGGGCGACCGCCTCCGCACTGGGAGGGTCGTGGCGGTTGCCGGCCCGCGCGGGCGCCGCGCGCCGCGGCCAGGACGACGAGGGATCGGACAGCGAGAGCGCCGTGCCCTCGGGCTCGCCGCCCGCCCCGCGCCCCGCCCCGCGCCCTCCTCGGGGGCCCCCTAAGCAGTGTGGTGACCGCACCGCGTGGCGAGTCGGTGCGGACGCGGAGTCGCCGCGCGGTCCGGGGACTCGGGTCGTTCGCCGAGGGCGCCTCGGGCGGCTGGGGGCCCCTGCAGGGTCCCACGGCCGTGCGGCGACGGACCGCGCGGTGTGTCGCCACACGTGGTCTCAGCTCTGCTCTCCGAGGGCGTCCCGGGCGAGGAGGAGGAGGAGGAGGAGGAGGAGGAGGAGGAGGAGGAGGAGGAGGAGGAAGGAGGAGGAGGAGGAGGAGGAGGGGAGGAGGAGGAGGAGGAGGAGGGAGGAGGAGGAGGAGGAGGAGGAGGGAAGGAGGAGGAGGAGGAGGAGGAGGAGGAGGAGGAGGAGGAGGAGGAGGAGGAGGAGGAGGAGAGGAGGAGGAGGAGGAGGGAGGAGGAGGAGGAGGAGGAGGAGGAGGAGGAGGGAGGAGGAGGAGGAGAGGAGGAGGAGGAGGAGGAGGAGGTGGAGGGAGGAGGAGGAGGAGGAGGAGGAGGAGGAGGTGGAGGAGGTGGAGGAGGAGGAGGAGGACGGCTGGGGCCTCCAGGGTCCCCGAGCCGTGCGGCGACGGGCCGCGTGCTGTCTCGGCTCGCCCTCGTGGCGTGCGCGGCCCACGGCCCGGCGCCCTCGGCGGGGGCCGTCGTCGCCACCGCCGGGTCCGCCCCGCGCCCTCCGCCGCGGGCCCGCGCGGGCCGCCGGCCCCGGCCTGCCCCCCGTGGTGGGAGGGAATCGCGGCGGGGGGGGGGGGCTTACTCTCAGAGGAACCAGAGCAGAGGCATGGTCGCGTCGTTAAAAAATCAGGACGGGAGGTCTTTGGCTATTTTCGGCCCCAGGGGGCCCTCGCCAGGCCTCGGGACCGTCAAACAACAACTCAGGATGAAAAACCGGTCCCAGAGTAGAGGTCAAAATCCACCCCCATAACAAACACCCTGACACGCGATGTCGCTTGGTAACCGCACCCGAAGCAGGAATCGAACAGGGCAGGACGGTTTAGCAAACGCAGGAAAAACCGCCCGGACCCGATAATTGGCGTTTGCTGAGCGGCCCTGGGCGTTTACGAAACAGCCCAGCCCTGTTCGATTCCTGCTTCGGGTGCGTTCACTACACGGCTTCGCGTGTCGGGGTGATTATTTTGAGGGTGGATGTTTTGCTTTCTTCAACAGTCATGATAATTATCCGTGCCAGGGTTTTCCCGGATTGCCAGGATTTCCTGGATTCCATCATGTTCCACATGGGTTGCAGGACCGAGGGCCGCCATACATTTTGGACATTTTGGAACGCATCCTGAACCAAGATCACTGATCATGAGACGAAAACCGCCCTACGTTCTGATGTCCGGGCGCTGGAATCGTTCCACGCCGAGCGTTTTCGCCCAGTCTCGGGCCCCGTGCCATCAGAGATCGATCCGGCCCGGAGAACACCGCGGACAGATGGGGCGTGGGGCTCCAGTCGTGAGTGTCGCGATGTCGCGCTTCTTTCGCGGCGTCGGATCTCATGGTGTAATCTTTGGGGGGGGGGGGGGGGGGCACGCGCGGAGGGGGTAGAGGGAGGGGGTAAGGCTTCTTAGAAGCACTCCTGTCTCTTAAAACGGCGCGGGCCTCATCGGTAGATGTGAGACCCGCGCCTTCTAAGAAGCAGCCTCCTCCTATTCCTAAGGAGCCCTCCCCCCTCCCCCTACCCATGCGCGCGCCGCCAGTCTGGGGGACCTCCAGGGGGCTTCTCGTCGCCACCCACGGCTGGGTCCACCGCAAAGTTGTGGCCAGAGGGCGCCCCAGGACACGTTTCGGGGCCGATGTTTCACCCACGAGGAGGGGGGGGGGAGGCAGTTTCCACCAGGGTTTCTTCCTTTTCTCGTTTATTCCGCCGCCTTCTTCCCTTGTTTCCCTCCTCCTGATCCCCCCCATCCCTCCTCCCTCCTCCGCCCTTTGTCTCCTCCCTGCTCCTCCTCCTCAGCATTATTCATCTTGTTATTCGTACTAGTATCGAAGACGCCTACGGCGAATCACCGCCGCCCGCTGACTTTTAGGATACGCCTATGTGGCCAAACGTGTGTGCAAAGTTTGGCCACGCTATTGGACCATGTGTTCCCCCAGCCGTCGTGGACGCTCTTCGGGGAACACACGGGGCAGGAAGAGACGGAAGAGGAGAGGGAGGAAAAAAGTGGATGAGGAGAAGGATGAGAAGACCTCTTGGGGGCTTCTTGGGTCACTCTTGGGGCCTCCTGTGAGCTTCCTGGGAGCCTCTTGGAGGCCTTTTGGGAGCCTTTAGGGTCTTCTTGGGGGGCTCTTTGCCTTGCGGCGATCCTGGCCCGTCTAACGCCGTCCGAAGCCATTTGGGGAGCTTTTTGGGGCCGTCTTGGTGCCCTCTTGGGGCGCTTCAGGGTCGTCTTGAATGCAATATTGGGCGTCTCTGGGGCATCTTGGGCCGCCTTCGGGCCCTTTAGGGGGCCGTCCTGGAAGTTTCTTGGGTTTATTGGAGGCCTCTTGGGCGATCTTGGAGCAATATTGGGAGGCCTCTTGGGCCGTCGGCAGGCAGTTTTGAAGCAAATGTCAAAATCTGCCGAACACCTATGGAACGAGTACCAACCATCCTGTGGTGTTTGGTCCTCGTTTTGAAGAGAAAGCGCCCCGTGTTCCTTCCTTCCTCTCCTCCTCCCTCCTCCCATCACCATCATCAACATCATTGCTGTCATCGCCACCCATGTTGGCACACCCTTCACACGTTGCGTGACCCCATAAGGGGGCTCCACCGAAGGCTCCAGTGGCGACGTCCCCATGCCTCCCCGCCACCCGTGTTGGCACACCTTTGACATACTTTTTGACCCAATAGGGAGCTCCACCTAAGGTTCCAGTGGCGACGTTCCCATGCGCCCCCGCCACCCATTTTTGCACACCCCTCACACGGCTCGTGGCCCCATTTGGAGCTCCACCGAAGATTCCAGTGGCGACGTTCCGATGCGCCTTTGCCACCTATTTTGGGACACCCCTCACACGTTTCGTGGCCCTTTTGGGAGCTCCACCTAAGGCCCCAGTGGCGACGTTCCCATGCGCTCCCCACCACCCATGTTAGCACACCCTTCACACTTTTCGTGGCCCCATAGGGAGCTCCACCTGAGGCCCCAGTGGCGACGTTCCCATGCGCTCCCCGCCACTCATTTTCGGCACACCCCTCACATGGTTCGTGGCCCTGTTGGGAGCTCCACCGAAGGCTCCAGTGGCGACATTCCCATGCGTCCCCGCCACCCATTTTGGCACACCCTTGACACGGTTCGTGGCCCCATAAAGGGGGATCCACCTGAGGCTCCAGTGGCGGCGTTCCCATGCGCCCCCGCCGCCCATTTCGGCACACCCCTGACACGGTTCGTGGCCCCATAGGGAGCTCCACCGAAAGCCCTAGTGGCGACCTGCCCCACACGGTTCGTGGCCCCATAGGGAGCGCCACCGAAGTCGATCTCATCAATTGCGGTATGCACAGTTGCGAATGGTTGAATCTTTCGCCGGGCTAATCTCTGTTGGGACCTCTCAGGCCTTCTTGGAGGTCTCTCGGAAACTTCTTAGTCCATCTTAGACCATCGTGAATACATCTGGGGCTATCTTGGCCACATGTTTCGGCCATCCTCGGCTCTGTCGAGGCCATCTTGGCCGTCTTGGAGGTCATCTTGGCCGTCGTGGAGACCATCTTGAGGCCATCTTGCAATCGAACAAGCCGACGGGAGGTGCGTCGCCCAGGGCTTTCCAGATGGCCGGCGGGTTGGGCCGACGCCCCGCGGGGAGTGCTTCAGACCAGAGCCAACAGCTTGCCAGACATTCGGCACGCCGTGCACCCCGGTGGCAGGACCACAGGGGGCGGCGGATGACGGAAAGCGCGCGTGGCGTCGCGATCCGTTAGTCGGGGGAGTGTGAGGGCTTCGGCGGGCCCGGATGACGGAAAGCGCGTGTGGCGTCGCGATCCGTTAGCCGAGAGAAATAGCAAGGGGAGAGTGTGAGGGGGATGGCTTCGGCGGACCCAGATGACGCAAAGCGCGCGTAGCGTCGCGATCGGTTAGCCGGGAGAAATGACAAGGGGAGTGTGAGGGGGTCGGCCATTGAGGGCCCAGATGGCGGAACGCGCGCGTAGCGTCGCGATCCGTTAGTTGGGAGAAATAAGAAGGGGGAGTGTGGGAGGGTTTGACCACTGGGGCCCCAGACGACGGAAAGCGCGCATGGCGTCGCGATCGGGTAGATGGGAGAAAGAACAATCAGAAGGCGAAAACCCACCCCCACCCCCAGTCTCAATTCCCATCCCCGAGCCCACGATTCCAGGGGTCGGGACTGGGGGTGGGGGCGTTCTCTCCATTCTCGGACCCCGGAAAACCATCCATCCCACCTCCAGTCCCGCCTTCCTGGATCGCAGGTTCGGGGATGGGATCGGAATTGGGGGTGGGATGGGACAAATTAGGCCGTGCAGGGTCGAGGAATATGGTCGAAGCCTCCGGTGGCCAACCCCTCCACAATGAGCGTGAGATCAGCCTCCAGCACTCTCTCTGAGCATGAGACTGCCCGTGAAAGTCCCCCTCGCGAGCATGAGATCGGTCATCTCCCTGGGGGGGTTCTCGCCTTTTCAAGCAAGGGGGAGCGTGAGGGGGGGAGGCAGGACCCGCCCCAGATGACGGAACGCGCGCGTGCGGTAGGTTCGAGTCGTGTCGACTAGCGGCGACCCCAGCGAGGGTGTTTTAGGTTGAACGCCGCCCGTGGCCCAGAATCGGCCCATCGTCGAACGCTCCAGCGTTTTTGAAATGTCCGATTGTTCAAGTTTGAACGATCCCCGCGGTGTTAGGAACTAACGCCAGGGTCGACACGACGCGAACCTGCCGTAGCGTCGCGATCCGTCAGTCGGGAGAAATAACAAGAAGTAGGGGTAGGCAGCCCGGGCGTCAGTTCTAGTCGCCCCAAGTTTCGGCTGTTTCCGGCCCAAGACGGCCCAAGTCAGCCCCAAGAGCGCCCGAGAGGCCCCCAAGTCGGCCCAAGAGGTCCCAAGGTACCTCCAAGACGGCGTCGGAGAGGTCCAAGAGAGCCCGAAGATGGCCCAAGAGCGCTCCAAGAGGGCCCAATATGGTTTCAAGAAGGCCCAGAACAAAGGCCCCAAGACGCCCCAAGAGGCCCCCGAAGGGGAACCCCAAGAGGCAAAAATCGTTTCATTCCTTCAGGGAAACTTGCGTTTTCAGCATATTCGATCCTTGAGTCTTCACAGCGTTCAAAACGATCCAGGAGGCCCCAAAGACCGCCCCAAGACTGCCCATGAGGCACCCAAGACGGCCCAAGAGGGCGTCAAGACGGCCCAAGAGAGCCCGAAGACGGCCCAAGAGAGGCCCCTGAAGGCCCCAAAAGGTTCCCAAGAGAGCCACAATAGGGCCACAGGAGATCCCCATGGGGACTCAGGAGGGCCCCCAGAGGGACCCAAGACGGCCCAAGCCCGCCAAGACGGCCCAAGAGGGTCCCAGGACCGTCCAAAAGGGCCCCAAGGCAGCCCAAAAGAGCCCAAAAGGACCCCCAGGAAGACCCGGAAATGCAATATTCATTGATTTTCGCAAGGTTCGTCGCTAGATGCTTGCCAGATAGGCCCTCGAGACGCTCCAAGGGGCTCTCGAAGGACCCCCAACTTGCAAAAGTCGCTCCATTCCCTCAGGAACATTTGCATTTTTTGCACATTCGCTTCTTTGGTCTGAACAGCGTCCAAGACGGCCCAAGACTGCCACAAGACGGCCCCCCAAGACGGCCCATGAGGTCCCCAAGAGGGCCCCAAGAGGGCCCCAAGACGGCCCCAAGACGCCCCAAAATGGTCCCAAGAAGCCCAAGAGAGATCCTTCAGGGTTCCCAAACAGGAGGGCCACAAGAGGGCCCCGAGAGGGTCCCAAGACGGCCCGTGCTCCCAAAGACGGCACAAGAGGGCCCCAAGACGGCCCAAAAGAACCCCGAAAGGATTCCCAGGAAGGCCCGTAAATGTAATAGTCATTGAGTTTCGTTGGGTTTTTGGCTAGATGTTGCTACGTCGCGCCAAAGTTTTAACACCAGCAGGGCTCCAAGACACTAAGCCAGCGACCTCGCGCTCTCACAGAGTACACGCGCTTTCAGTCCCCGTGCCGCCCATGAGAGTAAGGCCCCCAGGGCGCCCACGCTACCGCCACGGTGGCGTCAGGGAGGTCCACGAGGGCCCCAAGACGGCCCGACAGCGCTCAAAGGGGGCCCAGGATGGCTTCGAAACGGCCAAATGGGGCCACAAGACGCTCCACGAGGCCTCCAAAAGGACGCCCAAGAGGCAAGCATCGCCCCATTCCTTTTATGGGAAACGTACATTTGTTTAGCAGATCTGCTGCTTTAGACTTCACAGCGTCCACGCCGGCCCAAGAGGCGGGCTCCAAGACGGCCCAAGAGGGCCCCGAGACGGCCCAAGAGAGGCCCCATGAGGGCTCCGAAGTTCCCAAGAGAGCCCTAAGAGGGCAACAGAAGGTCCCCAAGAGGGCTGCAGAGGGCTCTGAGAGGGCCCCAGGACAGCCAACGCCCCCCCAAGACAGCCCAAGAGGGCCCCAGGACGACCCAAGAGGGCCCCAAGACGGCCCAAAGGATCCCCGAAAGGACCCCCAAGAAGGCCCGGAGAGGCCATATTCATTACTTTTCGCAAGGTCGATTGTTAGTTTGTTGCATGACGTGCCCACGTCTTAAGACCAAGAGGGCTCCAAGACAGTGAGCAAGCGATTTCGCGCCCTCACAGAGTACGAGCGCTTTCCGTCCCCGTGCCAAGCAGGTCCAATGGCTTTCGGCTCATCCCTCCACCGTGCCTGGGTTGTGGGTCTGAGCCTCTTGGATGGTCGTTGGGATCTAGTCGAGGCCTCTCAGGGGCCTCCTGGAGGCAGGCTTGAGGCTTCTGGGGGGTTGGGGAGCCTCTTGTGACCTCTTTTGGACCTCTTGGGGGCTTCTTGGGGCTTCGTGGAGCCTCAGGAGGGCCTCTTGGGGGCCTCTTGGCGCCTCTTGGGGTGGAACCCTTGGATTTTCGGTTCGTGCTCCCCGAACTGAGGGCGCTGAGGCGCCACCGCGCCACCCGTCTCGTGACGGCCTCCGGGCCGATGGAGCGCGTCGTTCGTTCGTTCCCCCTCTTGGGGCCGTCTTGGGCATCTCTTGGGCATCTCTTGGGCCGTCTTGGGGTCATATTGGGCCGTCTTGGCGCCCTTTGGGGGCCTCTGTGGCCGCCTTGGGTCTGTCTTGGGGGTCTCTTGGGACGCCTTGGACCATCGGAAGCTAGAAGAGTGGAGAACACCAAAAGCATAGAAAAACCAACGGAAAATACATGATGTTGGCCTCTCCGGGCCCTCTTGGGAAGGCTCTTTAGCGACTCGAAGGTTTCTGAGGCCTTCTTGAGGCCACCTTGGACATTTTGGAAATCTTTTGGGCCGTCTCGGAGGCGGACCTTGCTGGAAGCCTCCCAGAGGCCTCTCGGAGGCCTCTTGGGCCTCTTGGAAGCTCTGCGCACGTTTTGGGGTCCTGTTGGCACCGTCCCAGAGGCCCATACGGTCTAACTCGTATCAGTATTGTTATGTGTCTTATGATTATTATTAGTAGCATTACCATTAGCATTATCAGTATTATTATTCGCACTATTCGCTCTATCATTATTATAATTATTCGTGCGTTGAGTTCCTATTGTTATTTCTATGATTCCTCTTCATGCCATTGCTCTGATTCAGATTCCAAGTATTATTAGTGTTAGTATAATTCATACGGTTCCTTTTGTTAATATTATTTGTTCTAAGTAGCATGATTATTGTGATTATGATTCATATTAGGGGTCGCAGTTGGTCGCATTTGGGGCCACCGTTCCCGTGGCGCCCTGACGAGGCGCCCAGGCCCGCAGCGCCTCGGATGCAGCGAAATGCAGGACGCAGAACAACAAAAGCCCGGATCGCTCCCCCCCTTCCCTTCCCCGTGCCCTCTACCCTCATGGTTCGGGCGACGAGAAGTATGCACATGCCCCGATCCTGGGATTTGTCGTGAGTGCACCGATCCTGGGCCGAGAGTGTGGTCCAGGCCAGGGCCGGTGCACACGCACGCCTCTCTTGCCTTTGGTGGCCGCCCCCCGCCCTCCCGCGCCCGTTCGGCGGAGGTTCTCCCTTCGCGTGCCGCGGCACGAGCGCCGTGGACTCCGACACCCGGCTGGGCACCGCGGCCTCCAGCTCGACGAGCCGGCTGGAGGCGCCCTCTCTCTCGGCATCGCTCGGACGCGTGCATGTTTCCTTCGGCGAGGACCATCGAGGAGCATCCTTGATCATTTGGCGAAAAAACACACGCACGAAACCGCAAAAGACACAGGGAATGGACGTCCGAGCGATGGCCAGCCCCGCGGCCACTCGGCGCCTCCAGGGCGGCCCCGCGGCGCCCTGCGACGGCCCGGCGGGGCACGGGGCGGCCTCGGGGCCTCGGCCTGGGGGAGGGGGGGGGGCAGGAGGGGCAGGAGGGCAGAGATCAGGAGGGGAAGAAACACACAGACACAATGAATCGTCGATTCCCCGAAAATATAGGAAAATATGGGAAGTGGGGGGGAAGACAAGAACCCAGAAAATCTGGAAAAGTATGGGGAATATATATTTATTTGTGTGTATTTCTTTGTGTGTCCCAGGGCCCCTTTAAGAGAGTCGGGGGCGGCCCAGAGGAGGGTGATGACTACGGGGGGGGGGAGATCATGGCCGGGGCCACGACGTCTCCCAGATTTCATGGCGCCCCTTCTTAGTTCAGTACGTCCCCGGCCCCAGCCTGGGCCGCGCACATGCCGGCCTGAACCCAGTTGTCCCTTCTCAAGTCAAGGATGCTCAGACGGACAGCCGAGGAACAATCGCTCCAACTTCGGAAGAATGATCCCAGGTCCAGGAACCGATCCAGAGCCGAGTCGAGTCGTCAGCTGCAGTAGTGTCTTCTCTCTTTTCTTTTGTGTTTCTCTCTCTCTCTCTCTCTCCCTTCATCGTGTTCCGAGTGTGCGCATTATTGTTCTCTTTTGACTGGATGCTCTGGCGAATTGTGTGTGTTTTGCTCATAAGCAGACGAATGCCTCGTGGGAGGAACACCGTTAGCCAAGAGCCAAGAACGTAGCCCTCACATTGCCATGTTTCGTTTCTGCGAGGGGGTGCTCGCCGAGCTCTGCACGAGGACGGCGCAAACTGATTTTGGTATGTGACGAATGCCATTTCGTGTTTTCAAGAAAGCCGGTGGTCAACGGAGGGAGGTACTTTTCACCCGCTTCAAGTTCATGATTTTTTGGGGGGACTGTAGGAATGAGCGCCTCTCCCCATATCGTGTACTGAGGGAAGTAGGCCTCTGCCCTAAACGTGAAGCTTGCAGAGGCGAGGAGGCCTCTTCCGTAACCAGTGTGGTTCAAGTCTTGTTCGTTCCATAGTACACCTCGGCACAGGTCCAGCCCCATCCATCCCACCTTTTCCATCCCACCCTACGTTTCCCTCTTGGCCCTGGCTCTGGAACTGCGGGGCTCCTCCAGAGGACATGCATCATCGTCATCGTTGGGGGGCATCGTCAAGGGGGCAGAAGTGAGAAGGAGGAGGCCTTCTCAGGAGGCGGCGGGGCTTCTCGGAAGCTCCCTGGCCTTCTGGAAAGTTCCTTGGGTTTTCGGAGAGAGATGCGACAAGTTCTCAAAAGGCTGGGGGACTTCTGAGTCTTCTGAGAAGGCCCGCCCCCTCTCACTTCCCCCCCGGGGTGACCGCCGAGGAGGGGTAGTCAGAGGGGGGCGAGTGGAGACAACAGTACTGGGCCTTCGGGGGGCCCTAGTCGCAACGGCTGGCCGCAGCTGCAGCTCGGAGCAAAAACGTGCGTTTTTTTGTTGACCCCTGGAGGGGTCCGGGACCGACTTTGACTTGCCGTTGCTTCAACTCGCCCTGCTCCAAGAGGGTTGCTGCCTCCTGGCCCACCTCTCGCTCTCGGCGAATGGTCGGCATGACGTCTTTCTTCCGTCGAAGAAGAAGAGACGCCGAGTAAGCACAGACTTTCGGAGTTCCGCGCGGATCTCTCGGATCGGCACTGAATTCTTGACGGATCATCCCGCGCCGCCCCTGGTGCGCTCCCCACTCATTTCTGAACGTTTGTGTTCGTGCATGCACCGCCCGACCTCCGTTCAGCGCCCTCGGTGCCACCAGGAGCAGCGCAAGCTGCCCGCGTAAGGTCGCGCGGAAGCGCCCTCACTTCCAGCGTAGCTTGCCGCGCTGGCGGCCCGCGTAAGCTTCGGCGTTTGGTCACCGCGTCATCTCGCGCAAGACCCGTTGTTGTCGCTCGCCAGGAGCACGCCCCCGGAGCAGCTGCGCGTGCTCGGGGTGCCCGTCGTAGGAGCGCCCCTGCTGGCTCCAGACCGCCTCGGAGAAATCTCCTCGAGGGCCCCCGGAGTTCCACGGAAGTCCCCACGGGTTCCCGGAGGTCGCCAGAGGCACACAGAGACCTCTGGAGTTTTCTCAACAGCGGGGAGACAATATATTCTTTCTCCGCCTATTCCTTCCTTACCCTTCCTGCTCCTCCTGCCTCCTCCTACACCCCTTCCCTTTCTCCACGTCGCACCCTCAGGCGCGTGGGTAGGGTGGGCCGGGCGTTTCGCTTGAGATTTCCTCACCGTCTGTAGTTCTGAAGCTTGAGTTTCACAACAGCTTCATGGATAGAGGGCGGGTCGGTTTCAACATGTAGTTCTCGTTTTAGCGCAGCGCACGTTCGCATCAAAAAGTCTTGAGCAGCTTCACGACGGAAGGGTGGGTCGGTTTCAACATGTGGTTCTCGCTTCAGCGCCACGCACACTTGTCTTGTAAATCTGGAGCAGCTTCGCGGATTGAGGCCAGGTCTTTCTTATTGTTCAGTATCTTCTCAGCGCGGCGCGCATTCGCTTAAAGGTTTGCAGCAGTTTCATTGGTGGAGGGCGGGTCGTTTTCAAAATATAGTTTTTCGCCGCGCACGCTCGTCTTAAAAGTCTGTGGCAGTTTCACAGATGAAGTGCGAGTCCTTATCAAACTGTGATGTTAGCTGGTGTGGGCCCCACGCAGTGTGCCTGTAGCAATATATATATATATATATATATATATATATATATATATATATGTATGTACATATTATATATATATATATATATATCGCGCAGCATTCGCGCAGCAATTTCTGTTGTGCAACCTATGACGTACAACATATACATTTACATTTACGCATGCACATATACATATGTATGTACATTGTGCAACCTATACTGTGCAGTAAAAGTGGTGCGGTCTATGAGGTGCAATATATGGCGTGCAGCCTCTGCGGGGCAATACATGTGATGCGCTTTATGTGGTACCATCTGTGGTGTGCATTCTATGCTGTGGACTGTATGTGTGCGGTCTACGTGATGCAAGAACTGTGGTGCAATACGCGTGTTCCAGCATATGTTTCGCAATCTATGTTGTGAAACCAATGTGTGGTTCGCTCCACATTGTGGACATATGTGATGCAGTATATGTGAAACGAAATATGTGGTGCCATGTATGCTGATAAATATATGTGCCTTATATACAGTCTATATACACATCTATATACAGTCTATACGTACGTCTATACAGTCTATAGTCAGTATATACCTATGCCTATGCGTGAAATATGCAGTCTATATACATATTTATATTTATACAGATATATTGCACCATACCTTGCCAAACTGAAAGTTGCCGGCTCCACCCATCGCGCAACCATCCCACTCACCCTCCCGCAATTTGGTTTGCTAAACCCGTGCGGAGGCGATTGCGATGAATGCTTGGTGTTGGTTGGTGCATCTCTGCGGCCGCGATAGCCCGCGTATGCTCGCGCGCGCAGCGGCCAATTAGTTTGGCGCGACCGACGCAGCCGCGGTGGCGCTGACCTTTCGGCACATTCCAGCGGGCATTCCACTGCGAGTCGGCCACTTGGGTGGGCGCGGTATCATGGCAACGTCGACAGCGGCAGACACGATGATGGTAACGATTTCGGCGACAATGCTGACAGCGACGACGGGGCAGCCAGTGACGGCGCCGACGCTGATCACGCCGACGACGATGATGACGTCTTCGCGTCGGTGATGAAGGTTTTGGAAGGAGTTCGACATGCGCGCGCGGCAGACGCGTGAGAGTGGCCCGCATGGTATGGTTCGACACGTATCGCTCCACCCCAGCACGCGCGCAAAGGGTGTTCGACCGTTGCCGACATGCGCGCGCGAAACCCGTTTGGTCGCATTCCATGACATTTAAAAATCATTGCGACGTTTTCTCCAGAATTCGCAAGAGCGCGCAAGTTTTTGGAACAATCCACGTTGCGAACCCATATGTTTGTTATACGTTTGCTGGACAGTCGTTTTTGTAATCCCTACGAAACCGAAGGTTTTCGAATGATTCAAGCATGCGCGCGCGACGACGCGCGCGTGTGCATTTCGCAGAATTCGTTGCAAAGGGTTTTTGACAAGCGATGATTCCTGATACACGAGTGCGCGCGCATATTTTTTTGGCAAAGGATGGGTGGGAGGGCCGGTACCGGCCCTCTTGGGATGGCGCGGGTTCATGTTACGATGGGCGATGGGGCACAGTCATATGTAAATTGCAATACGAAAGCAGAGGTGGAAAATACCAGGGGGAGGGGTTTGGAGCCTTTTTTGTTCAAAATTTGATATATAGATATATATATATATATATTATATATATATGTATATATATATTATATATATATATATACATATATATATAGTCAACGTGGTGCAATCTATGTTGCGTGATCTATGTGATGCGCATCATATGTGTTGCATGATATCATGTGCAATCTATGTGCGGCTGCGACGGGGCGACGAAGTCGACAACAAACGCGGCGACCGACAAACAGGCCCAGACGACGGGCGGCGACAAGGCGACAACGGGGAGCCGACGGCGGCTACATAGCCGCCAAACCGACCGACAGGCCCAGACAACGGGTGGCGACGAGGCGATGACGGGGCGGCGACGGCGGCTACATTGCCGCCCGGCCGACAGACAGGCCCTATTCCTCAGAACAGAAATGCGAACCCCTAAGTGCAAGCACCGTTTGGGAAATTATCGTTTCAGCCCGGCGCGCATTCGTTTCAAAAGGCTTGCAACAGTTGCGTTGATGGAGGGCGGGCCGTTTCCAAACTATGGCCTTCGCCTTCCCACCGTGCACAATCGTTTTAAAATATTGCAGGTGTTTCAATGATGGAGGGCGGGTTGTTGTCACTACATAGTTTTCGCTTTCGCGACGCGCGCAGTCGCTTAACAGGGTGCAGCAGCTTCTAGGGTTGAGGGCGACTGTTGTTCAAAATGTGGTTTTCGTTTTAGCGCCTCGCGCCTTCGTAAGTAAAGGCTTACAACAGTTTCAAGGGTTCGCGTGGCGGAATGGAGTTTGACACGATTTCGGATTGTCAGGACGAAGCTGTATCGTTGATTTCCTGGGAAGTCTCAGAAATTCTGTTCTGGCTCGATCGAGGCCTGCCAGGACGCAACAGTCGTCTTCATCCGCGGCGTTGAAGTCCGAGGAGTGGTGCTTTGGCACGATGGACAGACGGTTGTCTTCCAGTGGGCCAGTTCCCACAACCAAAATGGGTCCTTGAAAGGACTTGTGAAGAGGAGAGTAGGAGGGAGGGTTCGTTGCAACGTCGTCGATGCTTCCTGGGCTTACGTGCGCTGGTCCTCCTCCTCCTCCTCCTCCTCCTCCTCCTCCTCCTCCTCCTCCTCCTCCGCCACCTGCCCGGTCCTTCTTCTCCTTCTCGGGGCTCAAGAGACGGGGATCAGTGCAAGCGGGGGTCAGTCAGAGCGTCGGATCTTGCAGGATCCTGCAGGGGGTTGGGCGCAGGATCCTGCAGGATCCTGCAACGCCTGACTGACCCCGGTCTGGATTGACCCGGATCAGTAGACCCCCGAACCTCGTTCGGCGCCCGGTCCGGGCGGTTGGCATCGCGAGGTGTCGCTGGACGACCGCGGCATCGCTTCCGTGATAAGCGCGGGCTCGTCGAGCGAGCCCTCCCAGGCCTCGCCGCCGATTGCCGCCGCCGCTCGAGGTCTCAAGTTGCCCAGACGAGTTCTCCTCGTGAAGAAGCTTGGGAGGTGTCGTTGGTTCCTGGAGGTGTTCTCGCGTCGAGAGGCCCTCCAGCAGCCGAGCTTGGCCTGGAGCGTGCCAGGGTGCCCCGATCGTCCTGGAAGGCCGCGGGAGGCTCGAGTTATGATAGAGCCGACCAGTTCGGACCCCCTACTGAGAAAATCACGGCGGAGGTTTTCGGGCCCCCACAGTTAAAAAGCGGCCCAGGATGAAAACCCGGCCCTTGGGAGGTGCCTAGACCTCTCAAGGTCCGCCTTCAGGGATAGGCTGAGAGGGGGGGCGCATCGAACCACAATCGCCCGTACATAGCCCACCACGCCCAGGAGCATGCGGTCCAGGGGCCTATGCCAGGTCGATGTTCCTCCCCTGGGCCAGCACCACCCGACCATTGCCCCCCCACTGGAGCCCCGCGCAGCGAGAGCAGGAACCCGACGTCGGAGGTCTGGGGGGCTCGAGGCCTCGAGGAGTGTGCCAAGAGCCCTTCGCGATGGGCCTGTCTTCCACCAGCACCACCATAGGTTGGAGGGGGGGATGAGGTGGAGGATGAGGAGGAGGAAGCAGAAGATGGGCCTGTCTTCCACCAAGACCACCATGAGTTGGAGGGGGGGAGGAGGTGGAGGATGAGGAGGAGGAAGCAGAAGAGGGGCCTGTCTTCCACCAACACCACCATGAGTTGGAGGGGGGGAGGAGGTGGAGGAGGAGGAGGAGGAAGCAGACGAGGGGGAGGAGAGGACCCCAACCCCCCCCCCTCCAACTCATGGTGGGGGTGGTGTTGGAAAGCAGGCCCACCACTTCGGGCGAGCGCCTCGGGGCCCAGTCCGCGTCGTCGCTGCCGCCGGGGTCCGCAGGGGTGTCCGCGGTTCGGCCGGTTCGGCTGCGCCACAGTCGGTTGTTCTGCTGGGGGCGGCACGGGCCTCGATCAGGAGGGAAAGAAACACACAGGCACAATTAATCGTCGATTTCCCAGAAAATATTGGAAAATATGCGAAGTGGGGGGGAAGACAAAAACTCAGAAAATATATGAAAATATGGGGAATCGATGTATTTGTATGTATTTATTTGTGTGTCCCAGGGCCCCTTCACTCGAGGGTGTCGAATCTGCAGGGTTCGTCATCGCGTCGCCTTCGCCCTTCGGGACTGCGTGCGGCCTGTCGGTGCCGGTTTCACTGTCGGTTCCGCCCTTTGTTTGGGCTGGGCTGTCGCCGTGGGCGGCCTCGGTCCGAGCACGCGGGGTCGGAGGATCGCGCCTCACGGTCGATACCTCGGCGATGCGGCGCGATCCGGAGCCCGACGTTCCCCGCCCCAGCGTCGCTGGTGCAGTTGTGATGCAGCGGCGGTGCGGCGCGATCCTCCGACCTCGTCTGCTCGACACAGGAGCTGGGGTGAGCTTGCGTGTTTCAAATGTCGTGCACGGCCTGTGAAGTGGGACATTGCCCAGACCCTCACGCGAGATGGCCAGGAACCGCCCACGTCAGGCAGAGCTGGATGGCCGCAGTTCGCTGCCTCCCGGTTCGTATTCTGCAGTGTTGGGCAGGCGGCCTTGACACCTGCTTCCGCTGAGCACAGGACAGAGGAGAGGGAGAAGGGAACGGAGGGACGGAGGAGAGAGGATGAGGAGGAAGAGGAAAGAACGACGACGAAGACCCTCTTCTTCTCTCTTCGCCGAGGTTCCCTCCTCCCTCCTACTGTGAAGGCCGGTGCCGCCGACCCTGAAGGCGGGACCTCCCGCAGGACCCTGGGCCCCAACCCCCCCAGGGACCCTGGGGCCAGGGCTGGGGCCACGACCACGGCCACGGCCACAGCCACGGACACGGCCAGGGCCAGGGCCAGGGCCGGGGCAAGGGCCGCCCCCCCCCCCGACCCACAGGTGGAACCCCTCCCTGTACCCCTTGTCCACCCACCGGGACCCCCTGGGGAGTTATGATCTGACCCAGGACCCCCCTTTGTGCTGCCCCCGTCAGGTAAGGGGAAAAAGGGAAAGGAGTCGACTTAAGTACGAAGTTTCTTTCCTCGGTTCATTTCTCAATTTTCTTGGGACTAGCGACGACGACGACGACGAAGAAGAAGACGAAAACGACGACCGCGTCTCACACACGCCGATGGGTCGGCGGATGACGGGAAGCGCGTACGAGGAATGAGGAGCGTGGACCGTTTTTCTCAAAGAATTCTTTATGTGAGGCTCCGCGCTGCACTTCGGCCGAGCGTCGGCGGATGACGGGAAGCGCCTCCAGCGTGCACCGTTGGTTCCAAGGTGCCCTAAGATGGCTTCCAGACGGTCCAAGAGAGCTCCAAGACGGCCCAGGAGGCCCTCAAGAGGCCTCCAAGACGCCTCAAGAGGCTTCGAAGAGGCCTCACAAGAGCGCCAAAGAGGCACAAATCTATGATTTTTGAATAGTGTTTGCAGGTTTTTGGGGTTCTCGCCTTTTCCGTTTCCCGACGCTCCAAGACGGCCCAAGAGGCCCCCAAGATCGCCCCAAGACGGCCCAAGAGGCCCCCAAGATCGCCTCAAGACGGCCCAAGAGGCCCCCAAGACGGCCCCAAGAAGGCACCAGAAGGCCCCAAGGCGGCCCCAAGACGGCCCCAAGAGGCTTCGCGGCGGCCCAAGAGGCCGTCAATATGGCTCCTAGAGGGGGCCCAGACGAGGTACACGAACGGACTTTTCGGGTCCTCGGCCCCAAGTGCCCCCCCCCCCGGAGGGTCCAGGAGGCCCCTGGGAGCCCCCCAAGACGCTCCAAGAGGCCCCAAAAAGGCCCCCAAGATGTCCCCAAGACGGCCCCAAAAAACTGCCCCCAAGAGGCTTCAGAATTGCTTCTAAGAGGCCTACGAGAGACCGACCACGACATCCCAAGGCTCCATTACGAACGATGACGTGGGCAGCTTCGAACGCCAGAGCTCCCAGTACGAACGCTGGCGTCCAGAGCTTTGACGACAAACACTGCTATGAGCAAAAAGCGGCGCTTCCCGTTCTTGTGCGGTTAGGTTTCAAAAAAGCCCGTTTCGCTCGAGACATCCTCGAACAAACGGCTCCAACATTATCTTGGAGTCGCTCCCGGAGGGCCTCAAAACGGCCCAAGAGAGCCCCCAAAGGCCCCCCAGGGGACCCCCAAAACGGCCCAAGAGGCCCCCAAGAGGCGCCCAGAGGCCCCCAAGAGGCCCCGAGCGCGCGAAGAGGCCCCAGGACTTGCCAAGAGAGCCCCAAGACGGTCCAAGATATCGCCAAGACAGCCCAAGAGAGCCCCAACAGACCCTCGAGAGACGCCTGGACAGTCCAAGAGGGTCACAGAAGCCTCCAAGAGGCTTCCAAAATGCTCCCCACGGGCCTCAGGCCCCCAGAGCCCCACGACAGTCCAAGATAACGCCAAGACAGCCCAAGAGACCCCCACAGACCCTCGAGAGACGCCTGGACAGTCCAAGAGGGTCACAGAAGCCTCCAAGAGGCTCCCAAAATGCTCCCCACGAGCCCCAATGAGGCCCCCACGCGGGCCCCAAAGAACCATTGACAGCTCACGAGGTCCGTCACATGCACAGGACGGCAGACTACCTCGACAGACCAGCGAGGCAGACCAGGTCAAGTTCCCTTGAGAGGAGCCCCCATAGAACCCTAAGACATGCCCAGACAGCCCAAGAAGACCCCAGTAGCCCCGAAGAGGACCCCGACAGGCCCCCAAGAGCCCCCCAGGATGCCCCGTAATAGCCCCAGGCGGCCTCAACAGCCCAGAGGGTAGCCTCAAAAGATCACGAGGACCCCTCTCTTGTTCGACGTCCTTTTCGTCGGGCTCCTTACTGTCATTACTATTTTTATGATCCTCCTCCTCCTCCTCTTCCGCTTCGTTCCTTCTCGTACTCGTCCTCCTCATCTCTTCCTCGTCCTCGCGCTTGTCTTCCTACTCGTTGTCTGTCTGCCCCCCTCGCTGCCCTCCCCGTCATCCACGCTGCCATCCTCGACATCCACCGCCCCGTCGTCCTATTATCCTTTTCTTGTTCACCCTACGAGCCCAATGGACAAAATCGGCGCTTCCCGTTCTTGTCCGATCAGGTTCATAGGAGGAGGAGGAGGACGACGGCGAAGACCCTGTTCTTCTCACTTCGCCGAGGCTCCCTCCTCTCTCCATTCCTTGTTCGTCTCCTCTCTCCCCTTCTCTCTCCTCAACCCTCTCGATCCTCGCTCCTCCTCGATCCCCCCTCGATCCTCACTCCTCCTCGATCATCCTTATCCTTTTCCTCCCCTCTCGTTTGCGCTCCCCCTCGCGCCGCTCCACGAGCCATCCTCCCTTCACCCCTCCACCTCCGCCCCAGAGCTTCCACGACGGCGACGACGACGACGTCCTCTCCCCAGAGCTTCGACGCCATGTTTTTTATCACAGCGTGGACCCCCAGAGGTCTAGATCCCTTCCCTGGGACCCGCTTTGCGCCCCGGATCTCTTCTTGACACGGCGATCGAGACCGTCACTCGTGGAGGAGCCTTGAAGATCGCTCGTATTTGGATGAGTGCACGTGGCCAGCTGGATCAATGCGATGGAGGTGGGACGCCCGCGGCTACCTCGGCAGTTGGTTGCATCCAGAGTCTTCTCGAGCCCGTCGAGCGCAGGGACTTCCAGATTTCGTCTTGCACATCGCGCCGTGCTATCGTCGCGCTCGCGGCGCGCTCCCGCGTGGAACTGGAGTCGGAGGGCGGCGTTTCAGACCCAAGCATTGTGATCAAAAGCTCTGTTGGCGGAGATTCAATGAGGAGAAATATGCAGCTGTTTTGAGATTGGTGAGATTGCATATAAAGAAACAGAAGGTTGCTGAACATATTCTTGATCTCGATGTCATATTCTGGCGTCGCCTCCACAGATATGCTTGCCATAGTGCGCGGAAGCAGCCGTCAACCCCGATTCGACCCGGGCTTGCGTTGGACATTGGCATTCCCAACAGCATGCGTTTTCGGA